ATAGGGGGAATTAGTTGATGCTTCCTGTACCCGTTGCCAATATTCAATTATAACGTTAAGTATATTTTGAGCAATAAACGTGTGGAGAAAGATGGAAATTTATGTACATCTTGTCGTAAATTTCATACCTTTAACTTGTACCAACAATCATAATATACTTGCTGATTCTTAGCAGAGCTGTTAGATGTTAAAGCCTAAAGGAAAAACGCCTTAACTTTAAAATTTAGAGCGTTTACGTTTTCATTGAAAATCAATTTAGCCAATACTTTTAAACCCAATCACATGAAGCATGCGCATTCAAAAGCGCCGTTGTTTACAACCACGCATACTATTTTTTTGGTACGACACGGATAATTAATTTCTATCTCACCCTCAGGAAAAGTTTTTAAATAAACAATAAAAAAACCATTACAGGAGTTTTACATGTAGGTCTGGTCCTACCAATGTTTACAGTACATGCGACAGCTCAGCACTCTTGCTTGCCTCAAGCGACAATAAATGGCAACCCGACTACTCATTCATTTTGTAACAAATTGAAAAATCATGCACAGTGTGCTGAACAATAAACAAAGAAGACATGCATATATATTGGGAGAGAGGTTAATATTTGAATCGACGTTTCGAAAGGCAAAATTTCATCTCGGGCAAAAACTAAGAAAAGGTTGGGCAAAACTACTGAAAATCTAGTCGAAAATTTTAAATCATCTGGATGGGCAGGGCAATGAAAGATTTTAAATTTCAGATATTGTTAAAAAAATCAGGGTTTCAGCATGGTTTAATAGGAATTTATCCGAAAAAGGTTTTTGACCATTAATTAAACTGATCTATCTCCGAAAAATTTCTTTTTACCTTTAATTGAACTGGTTTTTGTCAGGAAAAATTTTTTTTGGCCAATTTTTTTGAATGTCCGGAAAATTTAAGTAGATACAAGAAGACAGAACAGCTTCGACGCGAACCAAATGCTCAAGAAAATCAGGCCAATCATCAAGTCTTATTAGTGGTAAGATACCGTAAGCCTCCGAAAATAAGCCCCCTAACATCTCAGACACAAAAATCCTTAAAAAAATAAGCCTAATATAACCTAATCGGCTTATATTTGGAGGGATATTATTATTGGAAGAATCTAACAAAAAAACAGATCTGCAACTAAAACACACAAGTAATGAACTTGAATTTCTTTGAATATTGTTTATATTTTTGCAATAAAGCTTGTAGGTTGCGTTAATGTGTTAATTACATATATTTTTGGTGAGTTTTACCTTAGCAAGTGCCACAATAACAGGCATGTTCTTTGATTTCCATCACGTATCATTTAGATGCAAATCACACCCAGTAACAAGCCCAAACTATTTTCAAACCCACCATTCCCTCCAGTATTAACCCCAACCTCAAAAAGTAAGCCCTCGCCAAATATAAGCCCCCCCCCCAAAAAAAAGTCATGCATTAACTAATATAAGCCCAGAGCTTATTTTCAGAGATTTACGGTAAATCTTATGACTTGCTATATATATAACAACCCAAGGAAACTGTTTGTCACCCTGATGGAGAATATCCAGTGAGTCATCACTGTCTATGCCCTTTTCTTCATACAATTGGCGTATCTATGCATTCTATTAAATTTAATAACTTTGTTTGGTTACAAAGTACACTAAACACATGCATGCATGAGCAAAAAGTCGTGTTTACAATTAGATTTAAATGCAACTTCACTTATGGAATATTTTAATTAAAATTGTTTATGCAAAACATCTGCTCTAACTTGTGTTATTTATATATGTTATACATATACAAGTCTACATCAGAGTTTGGTCTAGTAATAGGATACCACTAGTGAAATATGTGTAGGTAATCACACAGGAAGGAGTGCAATTAATGATTAACCCTACAATGATATTTGAAAAATGTGATATTTGAAAAATGTGCCAAATTGCACTCGCCCCGGCGACTCGTGCAATTTTGGCACATTTTTTCAAATATCACGAGTATTGTTGTTCATAACTAGAAGTTACTATCGCAAGGAAAGGGCTGCCTCACCCCCAAGGGATCAAAGGCAGCATGCGCAATTTGGTGAATAAGGGGCTGTTTTTATGATCCCGCTTTGACGCATGTTCAGGAAGTAGAAAAAATGCAATTTGAATACCAAACATCTTGCACAAGATCAAAGGTCAGGTAAATAGTCTAATTCTAATACAGTCAGTGGTGAAGTTAGGTCATAGGTTCGATTCCCACCGTGGCCAGGCATATTTTCAAGCTTGCCCGGTGTGGATATACACTCAGAGAAACATCACAAGCATCATATTCACCTGAGTACATTACACCAACACAGAAAAAATCAAGGTCATGCTACAGTATACAAGTTTTTAATGATTTGCATTATTCAAATAGATCCAGGTATACAGGTATGGCATGACCAGTTGCCATTGTAGTTAGCTTGTAACTGAATACTGAACAATATCATATTATATATAAACAATAATAATACTTGAATGAATCATTGATTCATTCGACATGTAGACTTTAATAACAATTTCATATACAGAAATATTAAGTCAGTTTTTGACCCAATTATCATTTTAATGGCACCTTCAAAGTAATCTACGATCAGGTCTATAAATAAATAAATAGGCCTGATACAAACCTTAACAAAAGATCATGCCTTACAATCGTATTTCGGGTGTAAATCTGATTGGTCTATGAGACAAAAAGATTTAGTTAACCTGTCATTTGATTGGTTGGTGCTAATTATATTATATTGTTGTTTACAGTGATCACAACTATAATTAGATTGTTGTTGTCCTTGTGTGAAATTTAAACTTCTCCTGCGACATTTTGATTGGATAATAAATATAAACTTTGCTGCGCATGGGTGGAAAACTATCTGATTAAAGTTTGTGTCAGGGTATATTTGTAAAATAGAGCCTGATCTCAGGTTACCTTCAAACCTACCCACACTACCATAGGAAGCAATTTTGTATTGGGGGGCTGATTAGTCTGGGGTGATTATTGCTAGTTTACAAATTATTGTTGCTACGTCCCTGACCCCGAAGTTGCAAAACAACTGAACAATCTGCTGATGCCTGATAGGGAGACAAAATCTGTTTGTTGACAGTTTTGTTTCATAAGTCAGCTTCTGATGACATCAATCATTTGTAATGATTAAGATTGTACTCAGTCAGAACTGCAAAACTATATAATACAAGAAATTGTGAGCATTATAAAAAATATAGTATACCCTGAACTGTAGTGACACAGCCAGGTGATATATTATGCAAACAAGTAACAATGGACATACATCTCAGAGATTTATTTGTACAGACCGTCATACCTTTTGACAAAAGTCGGTTGACATGTTATTACATGTAACTACTGGTAAGTTAATATGTGCAGACAACAATCCACACTGGGTTGCCATAGGAATATCTTTCTACAAGTCAGATAATTTTTCATTCGTATATAATTATGTGTTCCAATGCGGGCACGATACTGCTCAATTGATATTCCCATATTTAAATAACAATATTATAATAAACTATCACTGTGATCATTTATACCTTGAAGTACGATGTTCTATCAAGCTCAAACAGATTTTTTGCTACACTTGTTTTAATATATGAAGAGTTGTATACTTGTATTGGTACCCAAATTAAAATTTGCAGTAATAAAAATACAGTTGATTCATTCGTTTCAATGGGTAAAATAATTCGACCAAAACACGTTGTTATTTGTGATCAAACTTTCATCTTACCTTGAAAATATTTCGATAAACAGCCAAACATAAATTTACAACAGGGCTGGCAACGAGACACATGTTTACAAATTGTAATCGTTCATGGGGGTGTTCGTGAGTCTCAACCAGGGTATTCGGAAAGTCAAACGCGATCTGGAGTATGTTATTTTTAAAATTTCTGTGACATCAAAAAACGTCATAAATCTTAAAATCCGTACCTCCGTCAACAGAATCGAGTTGTCGTTTGGCTATACATAACTCGGCCAAAGAGACTGGACACACGTAAACGCAATACTTCATGTTAAGAATAGTGTGCTGCTTTCGGCAGCAATTATATGCATGACAAAATCGCTTTGTTTAAAATAAAACAGCATTTTGTCAGGCGATTTGATTCTTTTCTCAGCAATTTGGCATGAACAAACTTGGGAAATTATTATAAACCCATATAGGCACATAACTTTAACTAGAACACATGATTCAAACTCAAACAACATATTTTAGATTAAGAAAATATTTATAAATTGACTTACATATAGTCACGTTTCGCTGCATCCCGCTGAGATTATTTCTTAAAACTGTTTCCTGATATTTTCTACGTGCTCTTTTTGCCATATTATAAACTCATTCTTGTCCCAAATTTAGTTAAATTCGTCCACTTTTGTTATTTATACAAGATAAATTTCGCCGCCATATTGGATTTTTGTAGTTTTGATTTCATTTCGCTACTGGAGAGTGCAATTATTGAAATAATTGCACCCCTTTACACAATCAGATTGCAGTAACTTTGTCATGTATATAATAATATAAGTCATACCACACAATTATTTTATGTTGTATAATTTTCTTGATGGTTTAAGTGTGGAGCACTTGATGGCATAATAAGGCAGCTGGCTGCCTTTGGTGATATAGTGAGTGGAGTAATAATAATAACAATAATAGTTTAATAGCATCTCCACATTGTGTCTAATCTATGCTACAAAATGTTACATGGATACATTGTGAGAACTTTTAAAAAATTACTGTAATATTATGGATATTACAGACCTATACTTCACAAGAGATAATCAAACGACAAAAAAACAATTAGAAACAACGGATACATTACGTTACAATATAACACATTCGCTTCGTCCAGTGAGGTAGCTTGTAACCCATTTGAGGTAATCTTTGGAGAATCCTTGCCGGTAAAGTTTTCTCAAGATGGTCGAATACGAAACAGTATCAAATGCTTTGGAGAAGTTGGCAAGAACAGTTATAGTGATTTCACCTTTTTTCACAGCTCGATAAATGTCATCTCGCATTGCCAACATGACAGTCGTGGTGTTGTGACCTCTGCGGTAGGCACTAACTGAACTACTCCAGTAGTTGTGTTTGTTACGAAATCAGACATTTGTCGAGGAACCAAACGTTCGAAGATCTTGGATAGGGTTGGAAGAATGGATATAGGACTGAGGTCGTTGTTGGATGTTATCTTCTCAGCTTTTGGAATAGCACAGATACGCGCCTTGCGATACGCGATAATAGCTGCTTTGATATGCAGTTGTTTATGATATGTGTCAGGATAATACTAGCTGCTCCGCCACCATTTTGATGCATTTGACAGGAATACCATCAGGGTCACATGAACAATCCGAGAGCAACTTTTGATTTCAGACAAAACTTCACTATAACAACTTCACTAAGACGAAAAGCGCGTACAGGATCGCCCCACAGAGTGTCGATGAAAGACCACATATGTTCGGTTGGCTCATGCGTTGTTCAAGTGACACTTTAACTTGTAGATGCGAAGTTGGTATTAAGCTCATCAGAATCAACTCGCAAACGTTTAGGGTTTGGATTGAGTATTCTACGTATGATTTTCTAGGCATCCATTGGTTTCTTGGATAAAAACGCTCCCTCATGTTAGAAATCACGTTTTGCAGTTTTTATCTTACGCTTAAGTTTATTTCTACCATCACGATATCTCGACCTGGATTGTTCGTCGATATTATTGGTGGTTGACATAACACGGAGAACTTGACAGTCTTTTTGAAGTTGGGCAATGTTACAATGTTTCAGGGTGCTGGAGGGCGTGATATTATAGTCCCTTGGATAGGTGCATATTGGTCAAGCCAATCACGAAATAGGGAGTTTAGTATGTTAACCTGGGTATCTGGATCATCAACGGCATTACACAAGACTGAACGGTAGTTCATCAAAACTTTTGATAAACGCATTTGCGTTAAAGCAACGTTCGTTCCTAATCATTTTCAAATGACTTAAGTCTTGGTACGAACCTTGGGACCAGAACGTTGAGACAGATGTATGTAGCATCATAATTGCTTATGAATGGGATAGCAAGAACGTCGCAGCGTGTAACCTGTTGCTTCATGTTCGTAATTATATGATCAATTAATGTGGCTGAGTGAAGAGTAGTGCGAGTTGGTTTCGTCACAAGCTGCCCCAAGTTCATCGAATTCAAAACATCCTTGTACTTCAGCTCTTGTTTCAGCCTTGCTGGAACGAACTATATATCTACGCTAAAATTGCCTGTTAGTGCTAGCATACCATCCCATTTAACAAAAAGACCACTCAGTAAATCATTAAACTTCTCTAACCAGGTTGCATAGGCCGAGATAGTTTCGAATCGATATATGGTGCCAAATAAGAGTTTGCTATGCCTGTTGCGTCCAGGAATTTATATCCTGAGATGTTTCATAGAGGGATAACGTTTCTCTAGACCATCTCTCCTCTTGAACTTAATGGATTCTTTGATGTAGATCCTCACACCACCACCCTTAGTTTGGCTCTGTTGTTGAAAGCATGAACGTAACCAGGGATTGCAACGTACGCGTTGAAGTAAAAGATCCTTTTCTTTCAACCATTTCTCACCACAGGGAGCAGAGGAGTCGAGTTTATCTAGTAAAGCAATACAAACGCCATCTTACTTTCTTAATTGTAATATCTTTCATTTGAAATTGTCGTGAAACATATAAAGCAGTGATATAAAGTTTATAAACATTGTATGATTTTATTCGTACTTCATGTAACATGAACACCAAATGAATATACTCCGCTGTTCTAGATTATTGTTGGCTCACATTTCGCTATACTTAGTAAACAATAAGAAACGAAGAAAGGGAGGAAACAGTCATTGGGGTGATTTTTTAGGATGGCTATAACTTGCTTAATTTTTCATAAAAAAACATAATTTTTTGCATGCCGGCTAGAAATTATCTATTCTTACTACGCCAGGAAATAAATTTCAATGAACGGTCGTTTAACCTACATGTTTGACGACCGATATTCATCGATTATTTTCGTACTATGTGCACCGCAACACCCTATGACGGAAGTGACGTATTGTTTCGTGTTTATGCATGATCGATTAAATTTTTTCGAATACTAATTACAACTGTCAAATGAAGTTCTACTTCGTCATTGGTCAATGGCCGGTTTTATTCACTTCCGTCATAGAGTGTTGCGGTGCACATGCTACGAAAGATCTGCAATGTTTCCTAACTTTCTTCGTTTCTTATTCGTTGATATCTCGGCCATTGTTCGTTAGCTTTTCGGAAAATACAAGTCTACGGTAATTCAAGGCAGCGGAGTATATCAATGTTGAAAATTCATATTTTGGTTTTATCTTCGATAATTTTGATGAATAAATATGCATTTTTAATGCGAACGTTGGGATTTTACAATGAAATATACTACAATTAACAAGGTAAGACGGTGTTTGTCTTGTTTTACTAGATAAACTCGACTCCTCTGCTCCATGTGTTCTCGCTCATTGTAATGACATCAAAAGAATAACGTTCAATTATCAGACATAAATGATCGAAGGTTGAGATCATGCTTTGGGTATTGATATGCTTGATCTTGAAACGAACGTTATTTTTCAGGATATATAGATGTGCATCAACCTGTCAGTTACCATCACCCAACAGCGTAGAATTATCCAAAGACGTTTCCAGGATGTCATGACTATAAATTTCTGCTGGGGATGGACTAGAGCCACCAACCCCTTCTTGATGATAAAAACGTTCCAGAGTGTTGTAAGTGTGGGCATTGCGTTGCAATGCCAACACAAGAAGAAAATAATTCTGCAGAAGATCTAGGCGAGAATACATCACAAAAATAACACTGTTTCCACAGATTGTTTTAGATGCCAATATATTGGACATTGCTATGTGGTGTAGGGAAATACATGTACGCTTGTTCTCGAGAACACTCGAAACATGGAAATCTTTCGCCATGCTGCATACAGGCAGTTTTCCTTTGGAAAAACGTCCGTTTAAATATCAGTATTGCTTTTTATTTTTTTATTTTTATTTCATCAAATAATTTCGCAACATATTATAATAAAATATGTTTAACCTTTTGCACCAATTAAAACAACAGTTAACTTACTGACAGGGATCATCTGTATTCGAATTCCCGGTGAATTCAAGGCTTTGGCATGGCCAGGAAGGTGTAGAAGTAAACACTTTGAAATAAGAATGACAACAATATAATATATACTTTTACAAATAATAATACACGCCACTCACAATATTAAACTTTTGATATACTATTTGGTATCTGTATTGTTGTCATTTAATTAAACACTTAAACGAATTAGAAAACTTTTACCTGGTGGATTTTCTTTGTCTAATTCGCGCACTTTTTCGAGGATTTGTTGGCGTCACACTGGTAGTGCAATGGGCAATTCATCTTGAATAAATTCCAGTCCAGTTTGGGTCCCGTTTGGGTATCCGCGAATCACGCCACCAATAAAATATATAATTTTGGACGTGAGATGATACAAAATGAAATAAAAATATTGAATAAAAAGAAAATTTGTCATTCATGTATATTAATCTCACCATAATCGATCCTGCTGTGTTCGATAGTATTCAAGCAACGTTTCAGCGACATTCTTGTCACTCTTGATATTTTCGCGTTCTTTAAACGCTCTCCAACGTTCAAAAACATTGAATAAATAAACCTGTGAAGCGTTTCTACCTTCGAAATATGCCTTTCTTTTTTCGTTTCTCAGACTTGCACTGGACGGATCAATATTCGATGCACTAGACGTCTAAGGAGTGCTCTCCGCCATGTTTGTGAATAACAATTTTTTGCGCGCCAAGAGCTAAGTAGACTGAAATGACCAATATCAGCTTCCGGTCGATTCAAGTTGTAAACGAACACCTCGAAAATGCGCAGAAACGAGCTATATCCCCCCCCCCCCCTTCTTAAAACACAACGCACTGGTTGTATTGTCCCAAATGAAAAATAATAATAACTGCAATTACGTGTAAATACCAGCTTGCATAAAACATCTTATCGAGTAGGGTATGGAATTTCACTTCTTAAACTTTATCTCATACCCAAACTTAGCCAAGTCACAGATCAATACCAAATTCCTGTTTATACCCCCTACAAACTTTGTTTCACACTTGGTAGCCACTTATTCATGAAACTGCTGACTTGTTCCGAGTTAAAATCGAGAAAGGCGTTTCGTACTTTGTAACTCACTTTTTCCCCGAGCCAACGGCGCGAAGCGCCGTTCTGAGTGTAAGCTAGAGGCGAGGGTATTAATTCTGCCAGGTTATTTACACCCGGGAAAGGAAAGTATTAGTGAAATCTAAAGTTCATTAATAATTGCGGTCCTATGACTATGATTCATGGGTGTATGTGTGATCATCTCACTAATCTCAAAATATGGCTGTTTGCCAGAAGTCAACATTATGGAATTCGAGGTATAGCTCTAGACTGGTTTAAAAACTATTTTAGTAATAGACAGCAATTTGTTCAATATAATGGTATTTGAACTCAAAAAATGACTATTGAGTGTGTTGTTCCGCAGGGTTCAGTACTAGGCCCATTACTTTTTTTATTGTATGTTAATGATATATGTAATATTTCAAGCGTATTGCATTTTGTTCTATTTGCCGATGACACAAATCTATTCTACTCGCATAAAAACATTTCTGATTTAGTCGATCAAGTTAATCGTGAATTAAATAAACTCTCCAATTGGTTTTCAGCTAATAGAATAGCAATTAATTTAAAGAAAACTAATTTTTATGATTTTTCGACCAAAACAAAAACAATGTGATGTTGAATTTAACATGTTCTTAAATAGTCATAGGGTTTGTTTAATTAATGAGTTTGGTTTTCTCGGGGTAATCTTAGATGAACATCTTACCTGGAAGCCCCTAATGTCGCAAGTAGCAAGGAAAATGTCTAAATCGATTGGTATTATAAAAAGAAAGTAAGTTTTTATCTTTCAAAATCATCGTTGAAAATGTTATATTATGCTCTAGTTTACCCATATATGCAATATTGCATTCTTGTTTGGGGCTCAACATACCCATCAAACTTAAAACGTATTTTGTATTACAGAAGCGTGTTATTAGAATTGTTAGTAAGGCAGCATATGATGCTCACACTTAGCCAATATACTTTGAGCTTGGAATTCTTCCATTTCGTAAATTCTATTTGTTTCATTTGGGAAAATTTATGTTTTTATATCATAAACAAATGTTGCCGGCCAATTTTAATAAATTTTTTCGTGGTGTTAATCAAGTTCATAATTGTAATAATACACGAAATTCGAAATTGTATTTTGTTCCTTTCTGCAGAACTAATATTAAACAATTTTCGGTTGTTGATCAAGGAGTTAAATTGTTTAATTCACTCAGTGAAGATATTCGTGATGCTTCTTCCATTTCTTCTTCAATAAAAAAATAAAGGAATATCTCTTAATTATTTAGCTTCCAATATATTTTATAGTTGTAATAGATCTTAGTACCTTTTTACCGTTCCGGTTTTATCAGACTATTATAAGGTAGCCCAAAACACAAAAGTTTTTGGTTTCTCTTGGGCTTCCTTGCCTGCCACTAATTACAGATTTGTAATTTTCTTCTTTTTTTTTATGGTAAAAATAAATTGAGTTCAGTTGAGGCAAAAATATTAAACATTTAGAATTGATTTAGTATGAGAAATCATAAAGTATAGAGCAAGTTTGTTTCAATTGTTAATGTATATGACTTTGTATTAATGCAGACTTTGTTCTTCTTGTTCAAGTCTTTCCTATGCATTGTATGCGTAAGTTACTTAGTTAAATTGACTTTTGTAAAAGTTTATGTTAAAAGGAAAGCTAACTATTTTTATTAGCGTCCTGTATGAATTGAATTTATTTCATTTCAAAGTGCGAGTAATATGTTGTGGCTCAAGTTTAAATGAAAAAATCACGATTTAGATGCGTGTTTTTGGACAGTATTACTTGCTGATAAACAAAAAGTACCTTACTTATATAAAACAACATCTAAAAAGCTTGAATTTTTGCACAAAAGTTACGCAACTGCCGTTGCTATGGCAACATTGACGTTTCAAGATGGCGGATATTTTAGGTTTAAATGTTAACTCGTATACGACACCCGTAACCCAAAAATTTTATTTAAATAAATGATTTCTCTCAGTATAAACAATTATTTTGACAATTCAAAAAAAATCTGTTGAGCCAAATTTTTTTAAATTACGTAAAGGTATTATTCATATTATTTTTCTTTGGCTCCACAGAATTTTTTTTAATTGTCAGTGTAATTGATTATACTAAGAGAAATCGTGTTTTAAATAAAATTTGGCAGTCACCGATGTCGTTTACGAGTTAAATTACTTTAAAGCCAATATATCCGCCATTTTGAAACGTCATTGCTGCCATAGCAACGGGAGTTGCGTAACTTTTGTGCAAAACTTCAAACTCTTTAGATGTTGTTTTATATAAGTAAGGTCTTTTTGTGTATAAACAAGTAATAATTGTCCAAGAATCCCATCTAAATCGTAAATTTTCCATTTTTTTTAAACTACCTTGAGCCACCTTAAGAGTTTACCGGCAAAAAGCATTTAATTTCAATTCACATTTTAAAACGTTTACGAAGAGGTTCGTGTGAAGTTCACGTTAAAATAAAGCCTATAAAAGCAAAATAGATTACCTACTAGGCCTACTTTGGGGGCCAAGGTCGCCTAATGTCGCCTAATTTCGCCTAATGTCGCCTAATTTCGCCCACTTTCGCCCATTTGCACCCAATTTTTTTAACTTTGCCTGACAGTCTATTTGCTTAATGTCGCCTAATTTCGCCTAATGTCGCATAATCTCACACAAGCATGCCCAATTTTGCACTTTGAGTTTGTCGTCCATATTAGTCTATTCCTTATTTATTTGTTAGTTTCTTGCATGTTTTTTTCATAAATACATGTACACAAACACCAACAACATGTGCTGTTAGGGCACCATCTCTCACCAGTATTAATGAGGCTTGGTTATTTGGCGTTTATATGTGTTTGAATTACAACACATTATTCCAATGAGAATTACCTAAATTATGTTGTTAAGGCAGCCTTCTGGCCATCTTCTATATATATATATATATATATATATATATATATATATATATATATATATATATATATATATATATATATATATATATATATATATATATATATATATATATATATATATATATATATATATATATATATAATCGGTCACGAGTACTAAATACTGCCCGGAGCGCCCGGGGACGTCCAGGAGTACCCGGGGACGCACTGAAGCGCCCGGGAGCGTGTGAGAACGCCCGGGGATATATAAGATATAGTATAAATCAGTGCACGATCCTTTTTGAGTCTCTATGAGGCATTATATCAATGAACTTGGAATTCATCTCGGGTAAGTTGCTTTTTGGCCCTGCAATTTCTCAGAAGTAAACAAATTATCCTGGCTATGGAATTCTTCAGGTGTTGGGTATTTTCAATGAGATTTCATCAGGGGTCAAAGGCAAAAATTGAAATTCTATAGGTAAATGCTGAATTATTTTTAAAGTGGTAACTGCTATTAACAGGAAACCATCATGGGACATACTT